TTGAGGACTACCAATAGCAGTAACCACTAAAATTGTTAACACATGTAACTCAAAGAGAAAATAATGACATTATCAAGATGTTAACATTCCACGCTAGGAGCAGTGTGTAGGAGGAAAACTCCCATCAATACTGGAAAGATTGATAACAACTACTGGCCTTGAGAAACTTGTTTTCCTGAAAAGTTTTTTTTTAAGAGTAAGATTTTATAAATTTCAACAGAAAACAGTACTGGCTGCTTAGTAATGTTTCCTTGTAGGGTAAAGGCTAATATTACCATTATCATTCTAATGAAATGACTAAAAAACAATTCACTATACTCTCTCTTTACATGAAAATGAGATTCTTCTATAAACCAGAATTTACCTTTTATTATTGCAGACAGCAGATATTTTTTGAATATTTTCCACTGGAATGAGAAAACATCTTTTTTTGTTCATGTGTCTTAGATGCCAGAAAATAATCATAGTTTATTTTTATCTTGATGTGAATGGACTTTGTTTTTGCTTTTGTTCCAAACATTTCTGTTTAGCTAAATCACACTTTTGTTTTGTTAAGAATGAAGAAAGTTTGTTTTTTTTTTGTTTTTTTTTAAAAAAAATAGAAATTCTAATACTTAATCAAAAAAATTCCATACAAGATTGATTTTTATTCAGGCCACTTAATTGGCAAATATCAGTTTTTGATAATATTTTATGTATTTGTATTTAGTTTGTTGATATTTTTTTTAAATGATTCTATGATTTTGATTTATTTTTTACTTGATATTCCATGATTCACTAAAGATTTTGAACAACATAAAAGATTTTACTTTTTATGATGAAATGGTCAAAATGTTTATAAAAACAAAAAATAGTTTTAAAATCTTTCAATTTCTAAATATTTAAATTTAAAAGTTATATATTAGTTTTGATGCGTTTGATGTTTTTTGATTCATATTGTCTAAAGAGAGTTTTAGTAAAGCAAGGTTTTTCTTGATTAGTTCATAAAAAACATTCAGATTCAAACAAGCATAAAGAAATGTCAACACACTATCTAAGTATTCTTCCTTATTGGTTGATTCACAACATTTTACAGCAATTTCTTTCTCTTCAGAAAGAAATGATTTAAATTGAAACATCAAGTTTTTATTGGTAGTTTTTAAAGTAAGAACATCACTGATTCTCTAATGTCATTGCTTTGTTTGATACAACTTAAGTAACTTTATATTCTTTATTATGTTTTAGACAGTTCTTGTTTTGTCTTATTTCTGTGACATTTTGTTGCAATTCTCAGACCATCATTCTTAATTACATAATTATAACCAGTTGTCATTGTGGCCTAATCTTGTAAAGCAGCTGCTCCATGCAGGCAGATTACTTCATGAAAAATTCAAGTCTCACTGGAGAGTTGTTATTTAATTCCAATCTATATTGTATACAAATAATTTTCAAATGAGGATAAGAATAAGATAAGTAATAAAAAATAAGATAAAAATAAAATGGCTTACTATATAATAAGCCAATTTGCAGGTTGCGGGGTTATTTGTAATAGCTGCAACTTTCAGTTGTCTCCCTTGCACTGGCGATTTATTTATATATTTAAAGACTTAATATGAAAATGAGATGATTGTAAGTAATCAACAAAATAGACTGTCATTTGTGTCAACTTGGGTAATCTATTTAATAATGATTGACAATGCTTCATATTATGACAAATCCAAGCTAATTATTTTAGTTTTCTTTTGTCCATTTCAAAGTCATATGTTCTCAAAGATTATTCACTAAACAATTCATTATTGATATTTTATTTCCTCAAAATGCTTAGATTAAAACTTTTCAAAAAATGAATTCTCAACTACCAAGGCTCCAATCTTCAGAGTTTGCTATAAATTTCTCTATAAAAATAACAAGGAATATTTTACGTTTTAGTTTAATTAAACAAAATATCTTTTTTCTTTTGTTTATTTATGTTTTGCTGTAGTTAAATTCAATGCAAAAAGAAACACCAATCTAAAAGCCATTAATAAAGATTTTTTTAAAAAAAAAGAGAGTCCCTGTAAAATATACAACAACAAATACACTAAGTGATACTACTGTAGTTTCTGTCGTAAGTAGGTTTTACATGGTGGAATTGCTAACCCCATGCCCAGCCTTCTGGTTTTGAATTCAGAGTAATTTTTGTCCTATACTGGTTGCCACTCAAGGCTAGAGAATTCAGGTTGCATTTTACTCTTAGATGAAAATGGAGATGGGTTCATAATGGTTTTGAGGGCAAAATGAATGCTAGACTTTGAACTTAGCTTATTGATTCCATTTCTGTTAAACACAGTTGCATTCACCTGAATCAATAAACAGATATATTTTTGTAATTCCTATCAACACCTATTAAGTTTTCACTTAGTTGGGTACAAGGCCACAAATGTGAGGTATCCAATACAAATCAAACTCACAACAAGAATAAGTCTGTGACACTATAACTGGATAAGAACCACTCCATAATGATTACAAATCTGGTTTCATTCCAGTATAAGGACACAAATGTGAGTCACTTAGTGAGGATTCAATTTACTATAATAATAATAAAGGCCTGCAAGATATGTTTGTTACCCACTACTCCATGGTAAGGTCTCTGAAATATTTACTAAGCTTTATGTTGCACAAGGTTACAACTGTTTCATTGTGTAGGAATGGTCTGCAAGACTAGTTTGATTGCCAATATTACATAACAAGACACGGTCATTATTGACACTTTAGATTGGCACAAAACCACAAATATCACACTGTGCTAGAATAACTTAGTAAATACTAGCAGGCTTTTCCCTTTCACTATTGCTTCACTTTTTTTGTGAATCAACCAATAAGGAAAAATACTTAGTGCAAAGTAAGATATATTCACTACTTGAAATATAAATTGACTTGTTATAGTTAAGGAAAGTTTTACAAATAGATGCCAACTTGTTGAAGGCCAAGTAAAATGCAAATTTCAAACACTTTTCTGCATTATATAAAACAATATTCCTAAACATAACTATTTTTGATTTGAAAATCAAAACAATTCTTGAATAAAAGAACGGTAATGAAGGACAGCTAATTAATGAAATAAACTTTTGCAAATTAGTTAAACCTGAAGAGTGATATTGCCTAGAAGTAGATAATATATATAATACAGATATTGAGCTTTTAGTGTGTAAATTACAATAAAGTAGTTTGTAACATGTTTATTTATCATCTCTCAGTTGCGCCTCAGTCTTTGGGCAGAGTGTGCTCAGGGGTGGCTCTGTTGAAGGACAGAGTCACAACTGAGGAAAATTATACTGAGAGGTGCCCAGCACTGGAGAACAGCTGCTCAAGGCCGCACCCTCTCATTGCACCAGTGAGAGGGATCGGTGCTCACACCAAGGCCTTCGCAACCAATGAATTTTTGTCCTTAGCCCAAGTGCATATCACTCAGGTTCCCCACATTAAACTGACGATGTGTTATAACCTGGCTCCAAGGAGGGTCAAGTAAATACCTACTATAAAATAGAGCTGTTTTTTTTTTAATCTCAGAATTCATTGGAGAATTGAGCTCCAATTTCGGATTTATTCATATAGATTCCATAATACAGGGTATACTTAATTAGTTACTTTGCTTCTCTAACACTTCACATGTTGAATGTATAATTAAATCTAATTTCTATTTTCCCATCTTTACACTATATTAATTTTATCTTATAAAAATGTTCCTTGTTCTGTCACCCATGAAATAAAATTAATTGTTTGTATGGAAATTAAGGATCTACATACATCAAATCATCTTTAAATTAAGTGGCAGCAGAAGAATTATTGTTAAACTTTTAAAAGTAACTTTAAACATTAATTCAATACTTAAATACAGCAATCAATTTTGAGTTCTTCTGTAGTTTATTGATGCCTATTGTATCTACTACTCCCTAGCTATTGTGATGATGGCCAAACCAAGAGTCCTCCACAGGAGCTACCTTAAATGTCGCCTGATAGGGTGGCTTTTAAGCTACCTTAAAATTTTAGCTAGCTTAAAATTTTAAGCTAGCCGCAATTTTGGATACAAAAGGAAAATAAGAGTTACTCCCCTCAACCACGAAAGCAACAATAACGGCTAGTATAATATATTAATATATATTTATAATCTGGCAGCCCTGAATCTGAGCTCAACAAAAATCATTCCCTACACCTAAGTTTTCTAGGGCTTTTGATTGAGCTATAAATCATTGAAATCTGACCAGTAGGAGTGAAGGAGTTGCTTGGACACACACACTCACATACACTGTACTTTATATGTAAGATTATGATTAAAATGAGGTTGATCATCCCCACAACTGAATTCTATTTGCTTGTTATTCAGTAGATAATCTTGCAAGCCATTGTCAGTATTTCTCAGCTTCACTGAATTTTATGTCTCCTTAGTCTAAATTAAAATTCATAAATTGTAATTCATAAGAATGTCAATGACATAATAATCTTTTCTTTTGGTCGATGCAATGAAACATTAAATATCACTTCCTTCTTAATTTTGCTTGGTAGCAGTCTTCTGCAAAAAAAAAAAAAAAAAGTTAAAAAGGTTGAATCATAAATTAAAACAAAAATTAAGCTCCTTGGAGTCTTTCTTAGTATTAGGTGTGCATAAAAGTTCATCAACCTCATTTTTGAAAACTAAATACTGAACATATTGTTGAAAAACATTTCTTAGCAGAAAACTTGAGCCACACTCACATATTTGCCAAGTTGATTTTGGTAGGACCTGACTTTTACAATTGGATAAATACACTGATCAGAGCAAAAATTTAAAACTAATGAAAATAAAATTGTTTGTACCAAAAAATCAACCTCCTCCTTACAGAGGAAAACCTAGAATTTGTGATAACCAGGTTGGATCTTGGCTGAAATTCTGAGATAAAACATTGTCTTCAGTCTGTGAATTATTTGAACTAATATCATCAGCTTTCTAGTTTTATTGCATAATTTTTGTCTATGCCCCTCTCCATCCATTTCTTCCTTTCTAGCCATCTGTTTCTCTGTCTCCGCCATCCTTTTCTTTCTTGTGTCTTTCTCTCCCCATCTTCTCTCTTTGTACCTTTCTTTCCTCCAACTTCTCTCTTTGTATCTTTCTTTTTCCCCATCTTCTCTCTTCCTGTCTCCTTCGCTTCCCATCTTCTCTCTTCCTGTCTCCTTCGCTTCCCATCTTCTCTCTTCCTGTCTCCTTCGCTTCCCATCTTCTCTCTTCCTGTCTCCTTCGCTTCCCATCTTCTCTCTTCCTGTCTCCTTCGCTTCCCATCTTCTCTCTTCCTGTCTCCTTCGCTTCCCATCTTCTCTCTTCCTGTCTCCTTCGCTTCATTCTCTCTTCCTGTCTCCTTCCTTCCCATCTTCTCTCTTCCTGTCTTCGGGGGCTTTCCATCTTCTCTCTTCTCCTGTCTCCTTCTTCCCATTTCTCTCTTCCTGTCTCCTTCGCTTCCCATCTTTCTTCCTGTCAAAAAAAATTCCCATCTTCTATCTTCCTGTCTCCTTGCTTCCCATCTTTCTCTTCCTGTCTCCTCCTTCCCATCTTCTCTCTTCCTGTCTAAAAACTTCCCATCTTCTCTCTTCCTGTCTCCTTCGCTTCCCATCTTCTCTCTTCCTGTCTCCTTCGCTTCCCATCTTCTCTCTTCCTGTCTCCTTCTTTCCCATCTTCTCTCTTCCTTCCTGTAAAAGAATCTTTATTCCCTGTCTCCTTTTTCCCATCTTCTCTCTCTTCCTGTCTATTTCCTTCCCATATTTCTCTCTAGTTTGTCTCCTTCCTTTATCCATCTGTCTTTTCTCCATCCATCTCATCTCCAATGTCTTCTCTGTTTGTCTCTTTTGCTTCTTATTTATCTCTCTATTCACATACTTGATAAACACTCAAAGATTGTAGAATTCAATATTAACCTATTGAAAACAACAAATATTTTGAACCATGTGGGAACCAATATAGATGAGATTATTCATCCAAATAAGTCTTTGAATAATCAGGTTGAATCTATAATGTGGTGACCAGTTATGTACTTTTTAATTTGAAGTATTTCATACTGGTATAAAGAAAATCAATTTTGTTCTTCAATTCTGTTATGATAAAATTGTTATTACTCATTCAAAGAATAGATATATATATATGTATATAGTCTTAATATATAATGTGTAGTTTTTCACTGAATTTTCAATTTCACCTTGCAATGTACACGTCAAAATTGTGATGACTAACACAATGATTGCATGAATTATTTTATTAGCCAATAGCAACCCATAAAATATGGGAAGTAGATTATTGATCACAAATGTTATAGCATTAAATATTCAATCTGTTAGCCAACTATAAAGATATGTCTTCACTATGAGTTTATTTTGGTATTTCACTTTATTGTAACTTACTAATTTGCAACCTTGTCATGCTAAAGATATTAAACAGTTTGCAATATTTTGTACTTGATAATATCCATATATTTTATTGTGTCCTTATTTATGGAGCCATTTTGGTAAACACAAATGTCTGATTACCAACCTTCTTGCATCATTGGTCAATCCACAAACGGATACCTTCACAAGCAAGATTTTTTTTTGTTAAAAAAATAATTTTGTATACAAAATGTGCCCATTATATTTAATGCAATACAAAGTTTGGAATATTTGACCATGTCAAAAACTTTACATAGACTAACACCTTGTTTCCACAATATTCATCAGAGTAATCTCTTGTCTGCTGGCTTAACACTGGTTCACAAAGGGTAGCAGTAACAGCCTGTATTGCTTTTAGTTCTTCCATATTGTTCAAATTTCATAAACTTCTGAATAGCACCATGTATGACGTGGGGGTGGGTAAATTATATAAGCTTAGTTTCTTATGTTAAAAAATTGTGCCACATTAGACTTCCAATTTAAGAATGCCTGCCTGTTTTGAAAATTCAACATTAATAATAGATTTCCTTTGACTTAGTCTTAAATATGAATGACTGATGCAAGGAGAGAGGAGGAGTATTGTATTGCACCAGTCTTCCAAATGGAAGTGGGCACTTACCTAACTTCAAATCTCAGCATTCAAAATCATGACCTTTTAGCAAGTCTTGTACACCATCCTGTAGCACTTGTGGTAGAAAGTTCCACTCACTTAGCCAGCAAACAGGCCCTACAAATATATCAGTTTTCTCATTTATGTTCTAATGAAAGTGGATTTTCAATATAATCTATATTTTTCTGTTTTAAATTTCTTTGATAAAATGGATAGTGAAAACCAATGTCATGTCAGTATAATATGGATGAGTAGTTTTAATGTTTGCCTGACATACACAGAATTAAGATTCAATTAGGGTGAAATACTAACTTTTTGCAATAAATAATAGATTTGAAACAATATTAATGTATTCAGTCTATTAAATTTCTATTCAAAATTGAAAATAAATTACTTCTCTTACCTACCATTACCACTGTAACCATCTTGCTACTAGGAAAATTTGATTTATTTAGAAAAGACATTAGAATCCAGAAAATTTACTGGAAACAAACCCCTGGCATATGGATAGAAAATGAATTGTCCAAGTACATAAATATAGAGGAAGAAAAAATACTTCAGTGATGGAATGAATAGATCAGAGGACAACATGCAATACACAGAAATAGCAAAGGACCAGAAACAGTCAAATCTGAAGTAAAATCAACACTGGATAAATTGAACAAAACAGCAGGACCAGATGGAATTGGAATTGTTGGCAGCTTTAGATGGTTTCGGTATTGATAAGATTATAGACATAATAAATGAAATATACAACAATGGTAAGAAAGACCTAAGTAGTTCCATTTTCAAGAAGCCAGATGCAAACAAATGTGAACAATCAAACAATCAGCCTGATTAAAAGCAAACAGCAGAATTAGACTAGAAATAGAGCAAAGAACAGGTGTGGTTTTGTTAAATAAACTAGAACAAGGAATACAATATTTATTCTCATAATGGTATAAGAGAAATACAAATACAAATACAGGAAGATGTTTACCTGTTTTTTTATAGATTGTGTAAAAGCGTTTGATAAAGTATATCACAAAGTACTGTAGGAACTGCTAGTTAAACTTGACATATTTGGGAAGGATATTAGAATAATCCAGAATTTATACTGGCAGCAAACCACCTGTATGTATATAGAAAATTAAATCAATAAATATACAAATATTGAAAGGGGATGTAAGACAAAGATATGTCTTCTCACCAGACTTATTCAACCTATACAATAAAGTGATTCTGAGAGAATTAACAGTCCTACTAGAATTCCTTATTGGAAGCCACAATCTGAACATGAATTGCAAGAAGATAGAATGTGTAGTTATCAGCAAAAAGAAGAGCCCAACATGCAAATTACAAGTTAGTGATGCCAGAATCAAACAACTACAAAACATTAAATATCTGGGAAATGTTTTAACAGAAGACAGAATGTGCAACACTGAAATCCAAAGGCACATTGGTACAGCAAAAATGCCTTCTAAAAGCTAAGTAAAGTATTAAGAAACAAAAAAAATTTCATTAGAAACAAAGAAAAGAGTACTGAAATGTTATGTAATATCAGCCCTCTTATATGGCAGTGAATGCTGGGTAATCTCACAGATGAAGAGGAGACTTAAGGCAACAGAAATGTAGTTCTACAGAAGGATACTGAGAACACCATGAACTGAACAATGAAGTTTTAGAGAAAATGGAAACAAAAAACTTCACTGCTGGCAGCAAACTGCATATGGATAGAAAAAGAGTTCAGTAAATATGCAAAAATAGAAAGGTATGCAAGACAAAGATATTTTTTCACCAGACTTATTTAACTTATACAGTGAGGCGATTCTAAGAGAACTAGAAGTCTTACTAGGATTTATTATTGGCAGCCACAATCTTAATATAAGATATGCAGATGACACAATGCTGATAGCAAACATAGAAAGGAAACTACAAGAACTATAGACGAAATTGGAGATACAAAAATCAAGCAGGTACAAAAATTCAAAGAGGATGGAAAGTGTGACACCGAAATCCAAAGATGAATTTGAATGGTGAATGAGGTCCTCAAAAACTGAAAGTAAATTAGTGATGTTCCATCATTACTGAGCAGACCATGAATTATTGTCTATCATGATGAACAGGTGTTCTCTCAAGGGGACACTGCATGCCTTGAGCACCCACTGGAATATAAACTCGGCCTAGACCTCAAGTGGAACTCGTATATACAATCCATAGCTAAAGATGCTGGAAAAATGTTTGGTTCCACTCAAGTACTTAACTCCTTCTGCTATCCTCTACATTTACAAAGGCCAGATCAGGCTAAAAAAAATGGAGAACTGCTCCTATAAATGGGCAGGAGCTATGGAGTATTCATTTTCTAGTCTCAATAGGGTCTGAAAGCATATCTGCTGCCTCGTAGGTGATGAATTATTTTCCACCCTAAAACTCCTTTCTCGAAATATTGCAAGCTGCTATTTCTATGGAAAGTGTTCAGATGAACTACATTACTTGTTCTAACCTTCACAACTAAGACCCACCATGCAACTTACATTATAGTGAACCACCTTCATTCCCTTCATATTCCATTGGTGAGGTGTAATTTCCACTTGAACAGATTCTTCCCATGAACTGCTACTTTATGGAACCAACTCCCAAAAGGATACTTCCTTCACCACTTCAATCTTAACCTGTTCAAGTCTAGGGTTAACAATTATTTTCCCAACATAACCCTATAAACTGTGCCTCTTACCACTTACTCTGTAACCCTCTACCTCGAGTGGCTCTTAGGCCTTGTGTAGAGTGAACATTGTAAAAAAATTATTAAAAGATAGGAAAATTTTGTTATAAATAAAGAAAAGAGTGCTGAACTGCTATATAATATCAATCCTCTAATATGGCAGTGAGTAGTGGACAATTTCTGATGACAAAACTTGAGGCAACAGAGATGTGGTTCAGCAAAAGGATGTTGAGAATACCATTGATAAAGTATGTGAGCAACAAATAATTTTTAAGGAAAATGGAAACATAAGGCAAACATTTTTTCAGCAGCAAAAGGATAAGAAGTTGTGGAGAGCCATGATCGTCATTATCCTGAAGGGATATGGCACATAAAAGAAAATGTTATTTGATATTTTAATTATTCTTTGATTTTGCTACAAAATTAAATATTAGAATTCTGAACCTTATTACATGCCGTCAGTATGACTGATGTTATCCTCCAAGAAAGTGACTCATTGCACCTTCTCAGGTTAACGTTCTCAGCTGACATGAGGTGGAAAGACAACATTGAATCCATTGCTAGATTAGCTGCTAATAAAGCTGGTTCACTGTCAGGTGAGACAGTTTTTCTCACTGGAATCTATCTTGCATATCTATAAGTCTACCATTCATCCATGCTTATAATATTGCTGCCACATATGGTTCCGGTGCCTCTGCTATTTTCCTGGAGCACTTTGATAAAATCCAAAGAATCAGCAATATTATTGGTCCTGATCTGGCAGCTCAACTTCAGTCACTTGCCCACTGCTGTAAGGTTGCTTCTCTGAATTCTTTATAAATACTTTCATGGTAATTGTTCAAATGAGCTCTTCACTATGGTACCTAGTCTCTATGAATTTAAGTGCAATATGAGACTGGCGGCAACATCTCAATTTACAGTTGAGCTAGCTAGATGTAGCCATAACTTCTATGCTAACAGTTTCTTATCTTACACTTCACACTTGTGGAACTCCCTCCTGGCTTCATGCTTTCCCACCAACTTTAATCTGCAAAAATTTAAATTCAGTACCAATCACTATCTACTGTCCTCTTGAGTGCTCTTTTCTCTTTCTATGCATTAGTATTACTAATGTTTCTATTTCTAATTCCTTCACACTCTGCAACCCCTTGCATGCTAATGGCTCTAACTGCCTTGCTTGGGGTGATACCGATTAAAAAAAAAATTTTTAAATGCAATTAACAAATGCGTCCTTTTTACAAGAATCGTATTTTTTAAAAATGTTTGATGTCATATTTCATTGATGGTCAATCAATTAAAGTTATTCTGCTCCATGCCGACTCGACTAATAAAGCATGTTAAAAGTGTAAAAAAATAATAGTTCAAAGTGGTTGACCAAAAAAAAAAGTTTAAAAAAAAAAAAAAACGACGCATTTTGTTTGGCTGTATTCAGCAACTTACAACTACCTGAAATTTAATTTTGAAGCTAAACGAAGGAGGAGGATAGTTAAGCAAGCACAATGTTATTTTCGCCTAAAAATTACTCTATATCCGATATGCCAGGACCTAATAATTAATACTAATAGGTTTTGTAGAGACAATATACTTTTTTAAAAAGTTATTTTCCCCATTGTATGAAAACTACGAAGAAAAAATGTGTCGTCTTTGTTGTTAGTTCTGATTTTTATCAAAGTGAAATTCTGTTGATTGAGAAATATTTGGAAAAGGTTTTTTAAAAATGCGAGAATAATTTTGTCAGCTTAAAAAGAGGCAGTTTTTTATGTAGACTAACAATGGATTATTAAGTACTAGTCAAGTAGAAGAGTGAGTAAGAGAGTGAGTGAGTGAGAGAGAGAGACTAAAGGAAGAAAAGAAACTGCGTCAAATTGACAAGACGGAAGAAGAGTGAGGGTTGGGCCAGAAGTTTAAGCAGAGAGATGTGATCGCCGCACGTGGCTGACACTTTATTACTAAAACCGCAGATTTTCGTTTTTCGGTTAAACTGAATTTGTTTTTGGGGGGTTTTTTTTTTGGTCTTTTTTTTTTCCTTTTTCGGGATGAACGTTTTTCAACTTATATCTCATGTGTGTAAGTGAATGATTTTATATTAACCTGTTTCTGTCTTTCACATGCACAGACGTAAAAGAAAGAAGTAGTGCTCCGGCAAGACTGGATTTTTTTTTTACTTACACAAAATCAAAAATGACTTTTTATAATTTCTTGACAGCATGCTTGTTTCAGTTTCAAGGTCACAAAATATCATGCGGCGTGACGACCAACTTTGACTTCGTCAGACGAATGTCTAAAAACTACTAAACATTACAGTACACTGTATTTTCTTATTTATTTTTGTATAAAACTGGCGGAAAATTGGTGTTTTGTGTGTGTGTGTCAAGTGATGTGAAAGCACCGTTTTTGGAGGGAGATTTTATTGCGCCATACATTTTTTTTTATCCATATTCAAATTAAAAACAAAACAATTTCTGACGATCCCTGGATAAAAAATATTAACTTAAAAAATTATCATCGTTATTAACATTATTACTAACTACTACTATTGCAATTTATTGTTTGTTACTTAAAAAAAAAAAAAAAAAAAAAAAAAGGGCAAACTGAACTGAATGAATAATAATACCAATCAAACATTTGTTTTTATTTTGCAATCTACAAAAATTAGTCCGTCATTATTTTGTTTCACCTAAAATTTAAAATTATTTTGAAAATTAAAGGCAAATGATTTTATTTTTGTTGGTTTTTGTTTTATTTCTAACAACATAAACCAAACTTCTCTCTTAATTAAAAAAAAAACGAATCAGTCATCATATCAAAAGATTAAAAAAAAGTATTTTCCTATGAAATAAAATAAAAAAATACAAAATTACGGAACTAGAAAGAAAGAATTTCTTACTCTGTTTTCTTTAAAAAAAAAAAAAAACTTTAATATTTATTCACTGATTTCACTCTGCATGATACAAGAAGCAAATTTGTTTTACTTTTTATAAATTCAACACAACTAATTCCTTTGTGCATTTATTTCGTTTTTTATACTCGAGCAGATTATATAAACATAAACTTTTCTCTTTTCTTGCAATGTCTAATTAAATAAATATATAAAATTAATTGACTTTGATGGTGAAGTTTTTTTCTTTCCTGCTGATTATTTCCGTTTCTGTTCATCTTTTAGGTGAATGGTTGCGTAATTTATTTCGGAACCTGACTTTGAGACCAGAACCATGTGAACAGATTTTAGAAGATGTCTCATTTGAAGGAATTGCCCGTTACATTAAAAGTGGCAAATGTAAAAAGATCGTTACAATGGCTGGAGCTGGAATCTCAACTTGTAAGTTTTTCTTATATCTCTCTACTTTTATTCCGAGGTAGGATGAGTGACATTTTAACTTTCCATAATTGTGGAATGTGGAGGCATCTTCAAGAAATAAGGTTTCAAATTGTATTTCCTCCATTTGTTGGCCTCGGTTTAGTTTTCTGATTCACATTTGTTGAGTTAAAACGTTTTTGTTTTTTTGTTTTTTTTGTTTTTTTTTTTTTTGTTTCGTTTTTGTTTTTTTAATAAAGCACAAGGTGTTCCAAAAGTCATGCGACAATTGATAATCAAGGAAAATTTGTATGACATCATCCCCAATTCAAACAATAAAATTTCTTAATAGTCATATAAAGAAGCATGATTCCAATTGGTAAATAAATATAAAATTTAAAAGGTTAACAATGGTAATGTGACTTTTGGAACACCCTGTAGTGTACTCCCAATCAAAATATTTGCCACCTTTAGTGACAAAAAAAAATTCAAAGATGGAGCTTGTATAAAAAAAAAAAGTGCAATGAAGAAATTCTTTGCTTTTCCATTCAGAACATAGAATTGAATTAGTCATCCTTTTGTTTATCATCTTTTTTAACAATTACAGCAAGAGAACTAGAAGACCTACCAGGATTTATTATTGGCAGACTTAACCTTGACAACAAAAGATATGCAGATGACATTATGTTGATGGTCTGCTAAGGAAGAGAACTAAAAGAACAATTAAACAAAATAGTTAAGGGAAAAAGTAAGAAAAAAAAAACTAGCTATTACACTGTTTATAGCTAGACTTGACACACAGGTGAGTAGTCACAGAAAAACATAAAAGTGGATGTAAAAATTAAATTAAATTTAAACATGACCACAAGTTTGAGAAACATTTTCTCCACCTGTGGCAGAATTCGCAATTCACACAACTGAAGAATTTCATTCACTGTGTGTTTTTATAGGCCAATGCATCTCCATGGGTGGTCCAGACTGCTGGATGTTTTATCAGGTTACCATCTCTAGAATGGTTGCCAACCAAAGCTATAGAACCTAATCTGTCCTGCTATTTAACCCATAGCTGGAAGGAGAAGAGATGTATTCATAGCTGTCCTGACAGTATTTACACATAAGTGAATGTAACAAAATCAACTGGAATTTGAACTCTCTTCTTCAATTTCTCAATCTAAGCCACTATCCACTACACCACCCACACATCCACAAGTTTATATAAAGAAACAATTTGTTCAACACAACTTTCAAAAAACAATATGTACAAAATTATATAAAATTGAATATACTGAGAGACATAGTATTTTTGTAGTAATTACCCTCTGACTTAATGCAGTTTTGTAGTCTAATGAATTATACTTAATTACTAAAGGATAGTGGTGGAAAGGTTCTCTTATACATGATATCTATAGGAATTAAATCCTATATATATTTTTCAGCCATAATAATAATAATAACTCCCTTAACCTCACCCGCATATTCGAGGTTCAAAATAATTTTGGAGGCCTGTTTGATCTACGCATACATACACACACACACCCACACAATGGAAGAGATGTGCCAGCAGTTACCAACTGAGGCCTTGTCCTTGTGTGAACATAAGAGGAAAATGTGCAGGCTATGAGGATATGTAGGATGAATAGCAGTTGTCCCTAGACATGAAGAGGTTAAGATTATAGTGATCTATTCATGGTATACTTAGTGTTCATTGGTAGCACCATATCTCTGTTGTTTTAAATTTCTTCTTCAACTGTGAGGATATTGTCCAGCATTTAATGTAGGAGATTAAACATAGCAATTCAGCATTATTTTTTTTTTTGTTTCTAGGGTCATTTTCCCATCTCTTAATACTTTACTAAGTTTCTGGAAGATATTTTTCATTATTCCTGTGTGTCTTTGTATTTCTGTGTCATTTTCTATCATTTATTACTACATGGTTAAATTTCTATACCTGCTTGATGTTGGTGTCCAAACATGTAACTCCCTCTTTTTTTTTATATACTGATAATCATGCATTCAGTTTTCTTGCAGTTAATAGTTAGTCTTTTCTTCTTGCTTTCCTTTACTATTTTGTCTAAGAGTTCTTTCAGTTTTCTTTCTGAGACTGTCATCAACAATCATTCTGTTAAGATTATGTCTCCTGATAATAAATTCTGCAATGTCTTCTAGTTCTTTTAGGATCATCTTAATGTCTAGATTAAATAAATTCAGTGAGAAAATGCTTTGTCATCTTAATCCTCTTTCTATTTTTGTATATTCATTGAATTTGTTCTCTACCAACATGCAGGCAGTAGAGGTTATAGATTACTCAAATATCATTCTCATGTAAATCAAGCTTTTCTATTATTTTAAGTAGCTCTTGTGTTTTAATTTATCAAATGTGGAGGTAGAAGTCTTTCTCTATTTGTATTCTTCAATCTGATTTAAATTAAGAATTGCAAATATTTGAAATATTATGGCAGTAGATTTGTGCAAAAAAATCAAAAAGGGATTGTTTTGTGCAACAGTATATACACTTAGCAATTATCACTGATGAAATTTAAGTTTGTGCGATACCTGCAATAATTTAGACAAATGGAAATTAAATTTGTTTTGAAAAATTAACAATACCTTAGTTTTAAGTTTTGTTTAAATTCAGCACTCTAAAATTAAATTATTCTCATGTATAAAACACTGTGAATCCATCATATTATAATTCTTCTTGTTATGCCATTAGTTAGTAATTAGCCATTACCTCAGGTAAATAATGAACCATTCCATTTTGATTATGAAGAAAGAGAGAAGAGATTCTATTTGGTTTTATTGAGAAAAAGAAAGCATATGAAAGGAAGATAGAAGAGGTGATAACACTCTCATGTGTTTAACGTCTACTTCAGTAAAATTGAAATCCTTGTTTTTAATCTTTTCATTTGTACCCACTTCTTTAAATGATTACCTGCATTTATACTTAAGATTGTTATTGCAATAGTTAAAGTTATTCAGCTCAAATATTTAGCGATAAGGGAATTTCCAGAGATATTTTGTAGTGGTGGATCTTGCAAGCAACTTATTTAATCATTAAACTAAGAATTATGATTCATCAGAAAATTTAAATATGAATCCATGAAATGTGGGTACTGGTAATGTATGTATGTATATATATATATATATATATATATATATATATATATATATATATATATATGTATATAATTTGTATGTAACACTTTTTATAGTGCACAGATACTACATTCTGATTCTAGGCAGAGTGTACAGATAACTGAGCTCCTCTGCAGAATTTCCAATCCATACAATAATCCTATCATTTTTAATATGATTTCTATATTTCTGTCAGTCAAAAAGATTGCTAGGTCATCATGTCGCATTAGATTTTTATGCTCTTCAGTAGAGTTTAGAAATAAGAATTTATTTTTGTGCCTGCAGTCTTCAAATATGTTAATACAAGAAACAATGGAAACAGTCAATCTTCAAGAAAGATTTCATGAAAAGAATTGAATCAAAACAAAAAAAAAGAAGAAAAAAAAAACACTTGAAATCTTCATAGACAAAGCTTTTGACCTACCAAAAAAGAAAATCTATTTGTTCTAAATATAGCAATTCCTGATTTTTTGTTTGTTTTTTAATATTTATAAAATAATTCTGCTTTTTCAGGAACAACTTAATAAAAGATCAAAGAGTTTTCATGTCAATCAGTGATTCTTTGATATCAAATTGAACATTGACCTATAAATGTTTTTTTTTTATCTTGATAAAAAGCAAATTGATTTCCTCTTTTATGATAAAGAAAAACTTTTTAATCTCTGTTATCCTTTAATGTTTAGGCCAGGACAGATTGATTGTAAAGACAAAGAAAAGCATTTTTCTTTAAGAAGTTCCTTAATAAGTGAGGAGGCCGCATTTTATCTCTTATCTATTTCTAAATGCTTATCGACTTTTATATTCAGTCGAATAATGTGCAACTGGAGGAAGTGACTTGCTTGAAATATTTTTAGCTACAAATGATGAAAGGAAAGCTGAAAAACAAAGCAAATCTAAGTCATTATTTCCTTATTAAAAAAAATGAGTTATTTCAAAATTCAGAACATTCCTAAAAGCAGCCTTTTCTGTAACCATGGCAACAGCATCAATGGAACATGTGAAAAAATTTATAGGTATAATTTCAAAACAAAACAGCAGGCAAGACTTTATTATTGTCTTAAACAAAATGGCTACCAATTACTGAGATCACCTAATGATGGTTGGACTAGTGATAAACCAAGAGATTGTAGGAAGCTTAAATCCATTGTAAATGAGATTATAAAGTCATTTTTAAGGATAAGACATGACTCCAGTGAAATTAGGAGAAGGTTATTGAGAAACATTTTCATTTGAGACTCTGAAATGAAGGATTTTCATTATTCCACATATTTTTTATGCTCATATCTTCATCTTTATTATTTTTTTATTTGTTGCTTTGTCCAATGTCTTGTTCAAGTTAAATTGCAAGATGTCAAAACAGATGTACAAAGATGCATTCTATAAGTCTGAGAAATGAGTCAATTCTCATTACTAAATTTGTTCAAGTTGCTGAACATGATGAAAGAAACAGATAAACATTAGCCGACCAGATATTTCAACTATTCAAAGGAGTTAACTGTTGTTAACTGTTATACATGTCACTTTTCTTAAGTGATATGTGTACAATTCAAAAGATAATACACGTTTCAGGCTTTATGTCATTTTCAGTAGATGAGGAGAAATTCTTAATTCCTTGGTCAGAAAATTAACATGTGATCATAATTTGATTTGTGTAAAATGATTTTGAAAATTTCTTTTTCTTTTTTCTTTTTTTTTCTTTTTTTCTTAACTTTAACTTTACCAATATCGTTACAAAGCATTGAAATGAGATTGTTTTATTTATTCATTTTTAATTAATTTATCATCATACTTTTTCTATTTTCCTGTTAAACTCAAAGGAAGCTAATAAGGCTAAAATTGTTTATGTCCATTTTGTAATTGTCTCATTACACTTGAATTTTGTTTATATGATTTTGTATTTGTAGTAAAAAATATTTTAAAATTAAAAGGACAGAAAAAAAAAGTTGCTGATTTGTTTTTTTTTTGTTTGTTTTTTTTTTTTTTACCTGATGACAAGATATGAAATTATAAATTACTTTTTTCTTTTTGTAGCTGCAGGAATTCCAGACTTCCGTAGTCCAGACACAGGTCTCTACCATAATTTGCAGAAATACAATCTGCCACACCCACAAGCAATATTTGAATTGAGTTTTTTCAAAGTAAGAATGTTTTTATATGAATTCATGCCATTCCATGGATTTTTCAGAAAGATGTTTTCATCTTTGTTGTAATTTTAATACACTTTAGTCATTATATTCTTCATCTTTCCTGTTTTAAATTTCAAAATATCTTCATCTTTGTTGTTTTCAGCGTAATATTTTAATTAATATTTTCTTTACCATTCATCTATCTGAATTTCTTATTATATTTTTATCTTGGTCTTTGTTATTTTTCGCAGAAGGTTTAAGATGATATGTTCTTCAGATTTCTGCTGTATGAGGCAGTCTGTGAAATTTCCTTTTTTTTTTTTTTTTGTTTTTAATTCTCCTCAATTAAATGCTCACAGTCTAAATAAAATCAATCTAACCACATGTAACCTGTAAAATTTACTTCTTACTTAGATTCCAACGATGGTAGATTCATAATGGTTTTATGAAATGACTAAAAACTTTCTATTTTCTTGTGCAAGATTTCAGGTGTCCATTAAGAGCTTCTTACTAATTTCATACATATTAATGAGAAATCTTTCATAATTATAGTCTATCACATCTCCTGTACTACAGAGAACAGTCTTGTTCTATCAGTAATACTTGCCTTAATTCCTGACCATTGATAATCCCTTTCTTATTAATTTTCAGTGCGTTCTATAGTAAATTGTTATCTATTACACATACCATGGCTTTATAATGAACAATGAGTTTAATAATAATCAAAAATATTCATTGTCGATTAACAAAAGCTCACTTCAAAATGTTGGACACAAACTTCTTTCATTTCACTGTTCACAATTTGACATGGAAATTCTCTATGGAATGAAAAAGGGTAATATTAACGTATATCGAAACTATTTTTAAGCTTATGGCTTTAAAACCCATAGAAGTGTTCACCTCTATGGGTTTTAAAGATTATGTAATGCTCTATGTATAGTATCTTTTTATGATCCCAGTTTTTTCAAAAGTTTTTTTTTTGCTTTATTTTGCTGATTGTTATCAACTTGTGGACATTATTTCAAAGCACAAGACACTGCCCTTAAAGTTTTGAACAAAACTCCTGTGGAGCTTTGCAACTGTGTCCTCTTGGCAATTTGGATCACACTGTAGTATCTATTGATATTTCATTCCAGTCATCCATTAGACAGGAAACTCCCATACACAACACCTCCTTCTGGTACCAAAATGCTGACTGGGATTCACTTTACAACTTTCTTTGTGCCACCTCTTGGATTTATATTCTTAACCTTCCTATTCAGAATTGTGCCAGTGAGGTTTCTTGTTTGGTCAAAGCTAGCATAAATGTTTTTGTACCCTCTCTGAAATACCAGGTGAAATCCAAAACCTCTCCATGGTTCAGCTGCCATATCCCACAGGAACCACTGTTTCCAGCTATACTACTGTGACAGCTCTGATCACCACAGATACCTATTCATGACTGCATGTAATAAATGTAAACATATCCTCAAAGCAGCTAAGTCTTTGTTTACTGATAAAATGAGACACCATATAGCCTCTAATAACTTTGGCTCTCATGACTACTGGAGGCTCTGTAATAGGGCATTGCATAAGAGTAAGTTTTCTATCCATCTTCTCTTCACTCAATCTGAGGTGTTAATATCTTCTGCATTTTTTTTTTGCCCATAAGTTCTCCACAAACTCTACTCTTGACTCATCTAGAGCATCTCTGCCTAACTTTCCAGTTAGAACTGAGATCTCTGCTGAGTGATATCCATATAACTCCTTCCATGGTTTCTGCTATCATCTCTAATATGGATCCCCACAAAGTATGTGGACCTGATTGTATCCCTATAATAGTCCTTATGAAATCTGCTTTTGAGCTGGCTCCTGTTTTCTCTAAACTGTACGATAAATGCCTTGCTGCCTCTGCTTTCTTGTTTGTTGGAAATCTTCCTCTGTTGTCCCAGTTTTTAAGAACTCAGGTGAACTATTTGACCCATCAAACTATCAACCTATTAGCTTTCTATCACTTTTAGTAAACTACTCTAGGCCCTAATCAACTTCAAATTGATTAAGCATCTCACATCACAGGGCCTTCTTTCAGACAAGCAATATAGCTTTCACTTCTCTAGTTCAACTGCTGATATATTAACAATTATTGCTGAAAGAGTCTATCAAGCTCAGGTTGTTGCTTTGGGAATCTCGAAAGCACTTGACAGGGTTTGACATACCAGTTGAAAGGCTATGGTATTTCTGAACAAATTTTTCAACTGATTCAGTCTTTCTTATCTAATTGTGAAATGCAAGTTGTCCTGAATGGCCACTCTGCTAGATCTTTTTGTACTAATACAGGTGTCCCCCCCAGGAAACTTTAGACCTACTTTGTTCTAATTTTTATCAATGACCTTCCTGATGACGTTAGTTCTCAACTTGGTATCTATTTTAATGAAACACCCAATAATAAGTCTGATCAGTTTGATAAAGTGAAATTGGCAGATGATCTGAAAATAACCTACAGTTTGTTGTAAACAGGGGCAAGGAATGGCTTGTTAATTTTGATGCCACCAAAGTGAAACTTTTCTCTATTAATCACCTTAAAGACCCATTCCTTCCTCCCATCAGCATGGCTGATGCTAACTTCCATGAGAGTGACTTGTTGAGCCTTCTCAGTCTAAGCTGATATGAAGTGGAAAGACTATATTGAATCCATTAAGTTTATTGCTAAGAAAGTCAGTTCATTGCATTGTGCTAGACAATTTTTCTTTCCAGAATCTATCTTGCATATTTATAAGTCTACCATTCATCCATGTTTTGAATATTGCTGTCACATCTTGTTTGGTGCTTCTGTTGTATATTTAGAGATTCTTGATAAAATCCAAAGAAGAATCAGCAATATTATTGGTCCTGACTTGGCATCACAGTTTCAGTCACTTTCCCACTAGCATAATGTAGCTTCCCTGTGCCTTTTCTATAAATACTTTCATGGTAATTGTACTTTATGAATGTAAGTGCAATACTAGATTGGTGGCAATTACTTATCAATTCACAGTTGGCTTTCCACCCAAATTTAAGTTTCAAAAAAAAATTTAAATGCAATCTCAATTGTTATATATTTTCTTGATTACTCTTCGATTCTTCTTGCACCCCTAATATTTCTCATTTTTTCTTGTACTTCCACACTCAGTAATCCTTTGTCTTTTAGTGGTTTTACTGCCTTGCATGGGATGATATGATTAAAAAAAAAAAATACAATCAAACATTGTTTCATTTGTTTCCACTTCCCAAATTCTGCAACCAATTTCATTGTGTTTGAGTCCCAGTCGAAAACAAACCCACAAAATCTCAATATTTGTATCTTCTATTATAATGTCTGAAACAAAATATAAAGCTGTTATATATATATATATATATATATATATATATATATATATATATATATATATATATATAAGAGAGGCAAAGGGGCTATGTATCACTGCATGCTTTTTTTTTTTTTCAGGATAAATAATTTTTGTATAATATAAAACTAATTATTGATAATTTTCACCATTCTCATTTTTCTTGTGATATTTTAGTATTTGCCATTTCTTCGGATGAATTGTAAACAAGCAATTTTATTTATGAAGTGCATGTAGAGAAAACTCTTGTTTGCTTAAAAAGGAAACGAATGAATTGCTTTCCTCTTCTATTCCCTTTGAGCAGGGAGCATAAAAGAAAAAACAAAAAAAAAGTTTCAGAGGTCAAAGAAAAGAGAAAAGCAGAATTTCCTTTGCTTGCCTTCCAGCCATATTAAGCCATATCATCATATTTTTTTCCTGAAGCACTGTTTTTATTACCCCTATTTGGCTAATATCAAAGACTTTGCCTATTCAAAGGACTTAAAGCTTTCTCCATATAGTTGGACAAATTGAAATGAGAAATGGGTATTAGTCAATATGCAAGTTTGTTTTATTGATGATTCTAGTTTATTTCATAGAGTATATACAGAACATCTGGTGACCCTAATGTCTCATCAAAAGTGTCTTCTTTTTTTTTTTTTTTAAATGCTTTTTAAAAAGATTTCACCCATGAAGAGTATTCTTGATCGTTTCTTAAAACCTGAATTCAGTCAAGTGTCCACTACTAAGAATTTTCTTTTTGACCATTTCACACTTGGAGCGAAAACAAGCAATTGGCAAAGTGATTTGGGGATTTAAAATGTAAAGTTTTCATCCATTCCAATGCTTTAAAATTATTTTTAAATATTTAAAATTATATATTTTTTAAATTACATAAAAAAAATAAACCAGCATCTCGATTTTTTTGTTAGAATAAAACTGCAATTCATTTAAAAAAAAATACAACCCATGTTATTTTCATGTTTTCATTCACCCCCCCCCCACAGAGGATGGCAAAAAGTCAATTAGCTCAGTCTACGCTCTATTTTCCTGGCCTTTTGCAGCAAGAAGCTTCAAAGAGAAGACTAATATGATTCTTGGAAGAGAGAAACCAAAGCTTCTACTGAAAATCATGACCAAAGTGGACATGAATGTCTTCATTATTTTGACTCCAAGTATTATGAACAGTATAGGTGGATGATGGGATGTCCCCATTCTAAACAAATTGTTCTGTTTCCCATGTTGGTCATTTTGTTAACATAAGAATACATGGGCAACTACTGGCTACTGCTATTTGATAATTTGATTACGGCTTTGACAAGGCACAAAAAAATCTCAGAATCATCTGAATTCTGTAATTGCTCTGAAAACTTTTGGCTAAAAAATAAATGATACAATTAATCATTGAAAAGCAGCTTTGATTCAATTGCATAATAGATCAATCAAGAAAAATTGTGATAAATTGAAAAGGTTAATTCCTTGTATTGAAATGTTGGCCTGTCAAAAATTACCATTTTGAGGACTGGCTGAAACAGAAGAATCAAAGAGTAAAGGTCATTTTCTGGTTGTATGTGAAGCATTAGGGGAATATTGTTTCTGATCACATTTAGATTTTGTGAAAAAAAAAATGCCAGCTGCACATTTTCCGGATTTTCAATTATTATTCAAAACGAGACCATTAATTATATAACTGCTATAATTGAAGATGAAATTAAGACAATGATCAAAAATCATCATTTGTTTGTGTTATGTTTGATGAAGCTACAGATCTTTGAATGAAAGAACAGTTGTTATGTATCTTGTGATTTGTCAATGAGAAAGAAAAGCCTTGAGAGATTTTAAGGATATGTTGATGTCAGTTTGAAAATGTGTTAATGAATTCAGCTGTAGCCAAAAATTTATTGCATAAACTTATAATTGAATGAGCATGATGACTGCTTATTTGAATGGAGTGCATGGAAGAATAAAGGAGATTTTTGAAGAAGATATCATATTTGTATATTATGCACATAACTTAATTTGGTAGTCTCTCAATTAACTTCAAGTATTCATGAATGCCGAATTTTCTTTTAAAGTTTAAAAGAAATTTCAACTTCAATTTCAGAATGGGCATAGGCAAAGGAACTTATTGCAATCCTAGGAGATATTTAGTTTAAATTTTTATTGATGATTTTTTTTTTTAAACCATATTCAGTGGCTCAGAGATTCTGTTTTTGATTCTTTAAAAAAGTTCACTTGATATTTCAAGGTGTATTTGTGAGGTTGAGAAATTCAAAAGACCAACAAGTTTGAGTAATTTTACAGCTGAGTTCTGGATGGTGTTGCTTAACCACCAGGGAAGCATGGTCAACATCAAAAACCAGAAGTTATTTTAAGAACTTTATTTAACAGCATTTTGGATGAAGTTATTTTTCATGTTGAGCAAAGATTTAAAACAATGGGAGAGTTCAGATTTGTTGAATTGATGAATTTTAAGCTTTTTCATGCTTAAGAAAAAAAAATTACCAATGGAAGCCTTTTCATCTTTATATGTCCATAAAAACATGGATAGATTGAAATACATACTGACATCAGTTTATACTGCAGTTTTTGTAAACTTCAAGCATCGAAGAAGTTGCAGACATAATACAGGAACTTGAACTAAACCAAACTCTGGTAGAAGGAACCAAATTACTACATATGATTTTGACCATAACTACCACACCTACTTCCTGTGAGAGATTGTTTTCTTCATTACAGGGAGTAAATAATTATGTGAGATGTTCTCAAAATAAAAAGAGATTGAGTAATTTGGTCTTTATTTTTAAGAATAAAAACCTTTTGAAGAAGATGAAGGTAGAGAGTGGTGCTGTCACATTTTATCACAATCTAATTGTTAAATTTGCCAAAATAAAACAAAGAATTGAATTGATTTCCAAATAAATTTTAAATATCTCATTATTTGTAGGTTTTAATATTTTTTCTCTTGTAACTAATAAGTCATCATGGCAGGTCAAGGGTACTACTAATGGGAGGACATCAGGTCATGTGGAAAAGTCCAAAGCATGGCTTGTTGGTAGAAGTGCATTTTCTAACATTAAAATTAGTTCATATTAGATTCACAGATAGGAAGGGGTGAATAATTTTCTGGTGACAGGGTATGGATCCACTACCCCATTTCCCACCTTGGTGATTGACCTACATCATGGACTGCATACCCTGTTCATGTCTTGAGATAATTTATCTTTTTGTTTTCTTCAGTCATTGTTCACCCTGTTTCTACCTAGCCCAAGGATTAAACTCATATTTACTATGTCACCAAATTCCCAAATCAGTGCTTTTGTCTCATTGGACCAATTCTTTAATCGTTTAGTCTATAGACTAGTGGATTAAAGTATTGGTTTGTGAATTTGTTGGCATAGAAATTGTGAGATCAATCTCTGGGCCAGGTAGTACAGACTTAGACTCAATAGAAACCAAACTAACAGTGATAAAAAAGAAGAAAAGAAATGCCTAGATAGCAGAATAAGCAGAATCTGCCTCAGTAGATTAAATAAAGGATTCAGTTCATTAACTTGAAGGTTACTTGGATTGACAGACATCTGAAGAAGGCCAGAGGGCACATTGGCTGAAACATTGTGATAATAACAATAAAAATGAGGACACTAGTCTGACTGTAAACAATGTAAATAGCTTTAACCGTAATTTAGGGAACCTGAAAAAAACTTTTGAACAATCAAGAAAAGTGACCTCTTCACAATATTTTTATCTTCAAAAGGTAATACCATTATTTCATAGCAGAAGTAGTGTACCTCCCTCTGCACATCCCAACTTCTAAAGAACCACTAGGTTTTTTATGTCTGAACTTGTGTCAGTCTTTTTCTGAAAATTGCTCTTTCACAAGTCAAACAAGAACAAGCCTTAGATCATAAGAGCATTTCCTAAATTACTCCAGATCTTTCCTTCGTCTTCCTGCAATTAGATGATCAGTAAGCATTTTAATGAAATGCTTCTTTTCAAGAAGAAAAACATTCATTAATATTATTGCTCCAAACAGCAACATATATAGAGTCTAAGATCTTTGAATCATACTTGACAAAAGTTCATTTAAGTTTAGAATACTAATGTCTTAGGAAACAATTTTCAATTCTTGATCATTATTATTATGTATTGATGAAGTGGGAGGTGGCTTAATGGTTGACAAAAAGGAAAAGGCATGAATCCGAATTTCTTCCATTAATAATTTTTTAATAATTATGTAGCTCAATTTTAATATGCTTAACACAGTGCTGGAATCCAGAAAGTACATGTGAGACAAAATTCAACTCAGTTCATCCAGCCAGTAGCCTTGCTGCCTGTCAGCTTCAGATTACTTAACCTTTATTCAAGATGTATGTTTTTGAAAGATGGAAGCAATCATGGCTCTCTCTACAACTTCTTTTGTTTTAATATCTGTAAAGTGTGCACTGCATTGCTTATTACAGGAAAGAAAATGGGGTGGTGTTTAGTGTAAGGAAGTAAATGCATCGGTATAGAAAAGTTTTTGTCTTTTATTTTATTTTTATTGTCTTTACAGATATATTTTATTTATAGCTGAATTTTTACACCTATATATAATTTTTTTAGATGAAACATTGGTACTCATTAATTTTGATTGGTGTTTCTTTCAGCTGGATTTCAGTTTCTTATCAGATCATTGTTTTACAGATGTTAATAAACAACACAGATCAGAATTAAAAATTAAATAAAAATAAGCTTTAGATAAGATCTACTTTCTCTCACTTTCTTTTTTTTAGGTATTTATGCCAGATGATAGGAACTAATTTACTCCCTGTCTTAGTAGCAAGTCCAAGAGAAGATCTGACAAAGTAAAAAGTGCTTAAATGTGTAAGAAATGTGGCTTGTAAATTTTAAAACCTCCAAAACAAAACTGCTTTCATTTAATCACCACAGAGAACCTTTTCTTTGTGTTATCCACTGACATGAATTGGAATAATTAAATTGAATCAGTTGCTAGGTCTGCTGCAAGGAAATTTGGTTTACTGTGTCATGCCAGACATTTTTTTTCTCTTCAGAATCCCTCTTGCACATTTATAAATCTGACATTCATCCAGGCATTGAATACTGTTGCCATATTATCTTGAGAGTCTTGACACAATTCAAAGAAAAGTCTGTAATATAATCGAACCTGACCTGGCATCTCGACTTCAGTCACTTTCTCACCGACATGATGTGACTTCCTTCTGTCTTTTCAACAAATATTTTCCTTATAATTGTTCTAATGAGTGTTTCTCTTTAGTGCCTTGAGTGCATGAATTTAAGCAATGCTACTAGATTGGCAAGTAAATCTCACTGCAATCATTTGTTTTATTCTTATAGTTTCTTTTTTACATTTCTCACTTGTGAAACTCCTGTCTCATTTCTTGCTTCCTTGTCACCTACAAACTTCAAACATTTAAATGCAACATCAATTACCATCTTCTGTCTTGTTGATTGAAGGTGACAGAAAATCAAAAGAAGAAAGTGCTGATGGCATGAATTTGTTTAAGAACTTGCCAAGAAGTGGCCCACAAGTGGAATGAAATAGGCAGAATCTAGTTATGAGACTGCAACAGACTGCCGTTGACTCTGTTATAATTTTGAATTGCACCTTCCGTAGCATGTCCATCATGCATAGCCCTTCTTTCTCTGCTGGTTCGACCAGTGAGATCTCTTGTAACTATCTGTTTGTTCACCTGTTGGAGTCTTTGGAGTTTGGTCATGCTAAGTCTCTGTTCTCCTCCTTGACCTTGCTGTCAAGAGTGCCTCCACCAGGGATTTAGAGCTCCCAACAACATCACTCTCAGAGTCCTTGTGTGTGTGTGTGTGTGTGTGTATATATATATATATATATATATATATATATATATATATATATATATATATATATACATACTTTTCTCTTGTTGGAACCACTACAACATATTTCTTTTATATATATATATATATATATATATATATATATATATATATATATATACACACACACACACTATTCATTCACCAGATATATGTTAAACTAACATTCTTCTTTTCAAGAATAATCCATCTCAGTAGATTAAATAATGTGTTCAATTCAAAATTCGCTAAAGGTTATCCAGATCAACGATCATCTGAAGAAGGCTGGAAGCCCAATGGCTGAAACACTGTGATAATAGCAACAAAGATCTGGACATTGATCCAAATTTAAATAATGTAAATAAATTATAGAGGTATTAAAACTTATGGAGAACATTAACTTCTCAAACCTTGGTGGAAAAACAAAATTAATAGTTATAAAAAAATTTAGAGAAAACCTTTTGTTTTTGTTTTTAATTTTTTAAAATTGTAAAAATCTCCCACCACTTCACCAAATTGACATTTTCAAAATTTTACCAGTTTAAAAAAAAAAAAAAATGTTTCTTTTTGTATTGTTAGTCTTCTTTTTTTGTCTTTTTCAGGAAAATCCAAAACCCTTCTTCTGTTTGGCCAAAGAACTTTGGCCAGGAGTTTTAAAGGTTTGAAATTCTTTAAACATTTTCTTTGCTGCTATTGCTTCAATTAAGCTTTGAATCTTTAATTACATAGTCAACTTTTTTTCCAACTCCTTCTCTTATATTTAAGTATATACAGTTTTTGGGTCTTATTAGAAAAGGAATATGAAAATTATATGAAATTATTTATCTGCTCATCAATCATAACATATACAAAGTGAGTGAGTATAATATACATTTTATTTTATTTAACTGAGAGCAACAATCAAAATATACCTGAAATAAAATAAGCAGATCATATAAGGAAGACTACAAGAAAAAGTGTCTTTTTCACTTGGCTCTTTTCAGACTCATATCACCAGTATGTGATATGCAAGATAGCATTTCTTTACATGATCTCCTCTACACTTTTTCTTATATTAATATCAATATTGTCAGAAATAATATAATGTAAAAAGTACAAGTGTATATGTATGGATATCAATAAAATAATAGATTTTAGAAGATTCAGTGTAAACCCATGGATGTAATCTACTTGAATTGTAAGTAGGATTAAGTATGATTATAATCAATGATTATATTTATTCATTGTCTTGAAAAGAACAGTCTTGTTTACTACATTGTTCACAAAAGTCAACTGAAAATAAAAGAAAAATATGTTACATTATTCATGTATTCCACAATTCTTTTTTAGACTAGTATCTTTATCTTTGTTAACCTTCTTCAGATGGATTGAAATCATTCAACTCTTGAAATGAAAACAAAAGATTAATGTATCTAAAACAATTGTTGATTCCCAAAATTACAAATGAACTGACTGAAATATTGTTAATGAAAAAGATTTCCTGAAAATATTGATAATTTTTTTCTAATCTAAAGTCAAATGAAAATTTATATACTTTGGGAAAATATTTTTTTTAATTCAAAATTGCATTAATTTTGCATGAACTTCTTCACTCTTTGTAACTGACAATTTATAAAAACGTTTTCTATGCTCTGAAATTAAATCCATGGTTTGATAAATAAATGTTAAATTACTGGGCTTTATACAGCCCATGGCTTGCCCAGTTTTGGTTGTTAAAAAGAAAATCCAGTTGTCTTTCCTAGCAAAATCTCTTATCAAATGAACTCCAAATACAAATTAAGGAGAATTCTGTATTTGACTGCACATTTTTTCCAATGAAATGACTGAAAAAATTTACCCTGCAAACTATGTGACAATGAGTTCCTTGCTTAACCCAGTATTTAGCCTTTATGATTGTAAATCCATCAGTATTTTCTGAATATTCCTTGCTAAAATGACATGATTTCTTTTTGCTTATGTAACCTATATGTCATCAAATATTGCACATGGTTAATACTCTTATATTTGCAGTAATATCCAAAATTTAATAGTAAAACAGCTAACATGTAAAGATTTCAGTGTCATATGAAAAAATAAACAAAAAGAGTATAAACGTGTTTTTATATATATATATATATATATATATAATATCAGCAATCTCCAATAAAAAACTACTAAAAATAAAATCTGAACTAAGTTTAGAAATTTGTACACGTAGTAGAAAATAGATTACAAAATAGAAAAATAATTTTTCAATCAGTCAGTTGGTTTAAGTCAATTTAAAAGCATTTGATTTTGCTCCCTCTGAAAACAGTTAAGCAAGAGAATTTGCAACAAGTTCTAGTCAGTCAACTAAAAAAATGCTTGCTCTTTCACACACATCAATGCCAAGCAACTCCCTTTCCCAAAGAGATAAGCAAAGTTCAGCAACTGGAGATCAAAAGACTTACTAACACTTGAAACTACATGACAGTTTCTCAAAGTCACTATGCTTGTACTTTTTTTCCCTCTCTAAACTCTAAGTAATGGCATTTACTAATTGTATGAAATTTCTCTATCAGACATATCTGTCAATTTCTAAGAAAATTTCAAATAATAAAATAAATAATACTATGAAAAGGTAATCTACAGAAAATAAACTTTGTTATATTTTTTGCCATAATTATTTTCTATATTCATTGTAACTCAATTATTAATAATGTCACTATAGAATGGTGATCTTGTAAAAAGAATATTAAACACAACATTTCTAATAACATTACTTCAGCAGACTTATAAAAAAAATAAAATTACAAGTACTTGGACACACCTTTTTAGCATTTTTATAACAGCTTTTGAATAGAGAACTTCTGAATTTCTTGATAAAAATTTCTAGAATTATTTAAAAAATAATATGCATCAGTTGATGCTCCAATGAAGCATTCTACAAACCATCAGAATTTATGGTGACAGCAGTGAATAACATTATTTTATAAAGAGGCACAATTTTACTTCAGAGACATTGATGCACTTCAGCAACAACATTTTTCTGAATTATTGCAGCCTAATCTGTTGGAGTTGTTGAAAAAATTACTTCTTCAGTGCAAAATCTTCAAAAATATGATTAATTAAAGCAATCTACTTTGCCAACTTATGAAAAAATAGTCCAAAATGCTAGACATTTAGGAAATCAATTCCAATCTTATAGGATGCACATTAATTTACTTACAAGCAATTTACTTACTTGTGAACAGAGAATATTGACATTGGTGAAGAAATAGTACAACATAAATTTATTAAATAGAAATTCTGCAGCTTTTTCTATAATGAAAAAACCAATAAAAATGCACATCAGAAAAGGGCTCAGACCAAATTGTCAAGAACAAACTTCTAGAATTTACAGAGCTCACATTATGCTGGCATAAAGTTCAACTTGTTGGATTGAGGCTCACTCATTAATTGAAATTGACACACAATGAGTAGCTGAAACTTTTGTAAATACATGTATTACAAGAATTTGAGTTATGTTGTGACAGATAGGGGAAATAAGTTTGAAAGTAAGTTGTTTTTATAGTTATTAAATGTTGTTGATTTTCATAGACTGCTTACAGCCCACGGTATAATGGTTTAATGAAGAGAAAATTATAGCTTGTAAAGAATCATGATTCTCAGCATTACCAATTATATTCTTTGGCATCATAGGCAGAACACCTAATGAAGCAGGCTTCTCATTCTTTTGTATTTTAAACTGATTTCCTCAATATTAATTCTACAACTCTGGATCAGTCCGTCGGATACAAAGCAATGTGATTCATTAAATAGTGAATTTACTAAGAATTTGTGTAAAATCAATCTACAATTTGATCTCGATGCCTTTTCTAAAAGAAATTCTGCTGCTTTAGATAGATTTGGAATTCCAAGTGAATTTATATCTTGTGATAAAGTTTGGCATATGAGGAAACCTTTGGGAACTTCTACAGAATGTATAATGTTTTGTAACATTTGTGAGGAATGGTCAAACATCTGTGGACAGACTAAAACCTTGTGTTGATACATTTGTAAATAAAAGTATTTTAAGGATAAAAGTAACAGATTCTGTAGGTAATATTTCAAACAATGATAGTTTGCATGCAGATAAATGTGATACTCATATTCAAAGACAAACATGGTCCTGGGCATGACATAAACTACATCTGATTGAGAGTTTTCAGGAACATGGAACCACCTTTAAATTGCAGTTGTTGCCAGGTTCCCCTGATCGGGGGGTGGTAGTACCTCTTAGAATCCCAGCGATGAGCAAATAGTGAACACCCAAACTAAAATGAAACACTATGAAAGTATAAAAATACATATTTATAGTAAAAAAAAAATACCAACAGTACATATTTATATGAAAAGATACCAACAATCCAAATTTAAAGCAAAATGACCAACAATATATTTTATCTGTAGTTGAAGCCATAAAATTGAGTTAAAAATATTTCGGCATTGAATGACCCATAAGGTGTTGATATACCATTAAACAATCAATCAATCGAAGAAAAACAACTGCTAATACATGCAATTCTGACTGAAATAATATGTTGAGTATTGCTTGTTTGATTAATTGTGATATAAATGATCACAGAATTTAAAATAATCTAAAGAAATCATTTTTAGGAACATGAATAACTTGGAAAATTTTTATATCTTTTCTACTATTAGACATTATATAGAAATTGTATCACAATTTGGTTGGAAACTACAATTGTAATATTCAAAATTGCTAGTTTGGAAAAATTTCAGACACACAAAATAGGATTAACATACATACACACATACATATATATATATATATATATATATATATATATATATATATATATATACACATCAAGAACAATATTATGGGAAAATGTATGTCAAATTGTAAAAAGTTTTCTTGTGACACATTTCTCCTTTAGGACTTCATCAGACTAAATTTGTTATGTTGGTGCAACTACACATATGCACGAATGAGGGATGCTAATAATTTTTAAAAAAATTTTTAATTTTTTGATTCATTTGGTTTAGCCAGACCTTCTATTATCACAGTGTGGGATATCTAATAACAAAAGTAATAAAAAGAATCTAAATGAAATTGGCTAGATAAAAAAAGTGAAGTACTAGAGGGACAAAATGCATCACAAGAAAACTTTTTCCACTTTGTCATATATATATATATATATATATATATATATATATAGTTTCCCCGAATGGATAAGTGGCTGTAGCTATATGGTTGCTTCTTGAAATCAATACATTTATATTTCCTTTACACTTTTGTAATGTGTGAATAATGTCATGTAGTAAATTTATGAACTTTATATTAGATACATGTCCATATCGATGAAAATTTTCAAAAATAAGACTGCTTCCATTGAACATCAACTAACACACATTTACATACAAAAACTTTGTTGTAAAAATGTAAGTGAATTGAAGTTTTAAATTTGAATACAATTACTATTAATTGTTTATTAATTGTGGCTAATTAATAATGCCACTACATGTCAATGTAAAAAAAAAAAAATCATATTTATTTACATATAAATTGATGCTTCTGCCTGTGTAATCAGTGTAATATCTTTGCTCTCTTTGAAACATATTGCACACACACACACACACACACACTGAGGTCAATACCAAGGGGCAATAGTCTGCTTCTTGCTTGATGCAATCTTCAGGCCATATATATATATATATATATATACATAGCATAATAGTTATCAGTGCAGAAAGTTGTATAAACATTCCAACCAATTTCTTCCCCCAGCAATAGCTTAAATAGCAAGGCAGCAGACTAGTCTCTCTAGCCTTGGTTGGCAACCAGCTTAAGAGAAGGAAGGTGGGCTGTTTGGTGACTTCATGGCGCACATTTCTGTTATCAGTTATTCCAAAACATTTACCTGGTTCTTCACTACAATAATCAAATCATATTTGTGGCTAGTCTGGAATTTTAGTTCTAAAATAACTGTTAGGTGATACTTTAAATGTTCATTTGCACACAACAGAATTGGGATAGGTTTGCTTTTAGAATTCCTTCACCCCCCTGAGCTTTTAAAGTCGAAGTTTCTTTACTATTTTTTCTTTTGAAGCCTGAGGCACACCTTAGAAAAGTAAACAGTTACTATGTTATTAATATATTGATAATTACATTAATTAAATATTTCCATGATTATTTACCTTGGACTCCCAGATTTAAAGACAAAATTTTTCTTGTATTAGGTTGTTATATAAATTCATTCATGTTTTAATAATTTAATAGTTCTGATAAATCATTCAACAATGTATTCCTCTTTATTGTTTATGGCCTACTGCAAACAATCCACTGTTCAATGCCTTGATGATAGAATTTACTAGGCTTAAACTTGAAAAATTCATCAAGCTACATTTTAAGTTTGATATTGTTGTTGAATGAAACACCCCTCAAATTATTAGAAAGGGACTAAAAAATATGGTAGTCTAAAGGGGCTAAATCAGGAGAATATGGTGGGTGTAGCAGAATTTCTTCCCCATCGAACTCTTCTTTTATATCTATGAGTAGCCTGGTGTCAAGTGAGTAAACTGGTAACAGTGGAGGAATGCTGGAGTTAGTTTCTCTCAGGCAATGTCTGTAGCACCCATGTGGCATGTTTTCTGGACTTTACCCATTGAGTGAAGATGACAAGCAACAGTAACATGAGAGCTTGCCATCTTCTGAGCCAATTTCCTAGTGGTCTGACATGTGCAAACTGAATGGGTCGTCCAGAATGTGGAGAGTCTGTAAGTTCGAACTTCTCTCTCCTTAATATGGGGAAAACCATTTCTGTTCCATTCTGTTAGTAATGAATTCATCTCCGTACACAGCACAAATGTCTCAAGTAGCTTTGTGATCTTGATTAAAAGCAAAGAGAAGAAGATGTTGAACATGCTCATTCTTATCTACTTAGCATTCCATTTCAAAGGAGTGTCTAATCTGAAATAAAATTTCAATAATGTTAGAAAACAGTTTTAGGATTTCAGAGTTACTAAGAAGCAAAAATTGCTACGAAAGATTATTCTTCGAGATCATTTGCAGAACATCAAACAAATATATATAACAAACCTTAGATGTCTTTGTATTTCTTTTCTGCAATAATCAAACAAGAATTTTCATTTTTGAAGACAGTAAGTAGGCAAATCCATACATATTTAAATGCACAAGAGAAAATGATTAATTTTGTTAAAGATACATTTATTGTTTAGGCTTTCTGTAGAATATTAGCTAATTGAAAAACCTTTTGCAGCAAATGTTTGACAGATTTTCATCATGCAAAGAAGAAAATGATCTATTAATTCTGCATTGGTCCAATTGATGCAAACTAAATGATCCTTATTAAATTTTTTTAAATGCTTAATTTTAATAAAAAATTTTCCTGTGATTTCAAAAGCATGTAAATTTTATTGTTAATTGTTGTTCACATTTTCAATGAAAACCGTCAAAAGTTGATCCTAATCATTTCTTGGGACAGTTCCTATTACTGATGACATTATTCTACAGGCTTACTTAATGAGATACAAAGGCATCTGCTATGTTCTTTTCAGAAACAAAAGCATTTCAGTCAAGCAACAGACATCAAGGCATACCTCTGCCCTTTTTAATCTTAGAGATGGGAAGCAGATCCTCAATGTCCAGGTGTTAATTTTATAGAAATCAGTTTTCCTGTACTTGCAGATGGCTACTGATCATAAAGCCCTTTTTTTTTCCTCTCCATATCAGTCTTGCATCATTGACATTGTCCTTATTGTGTTTTGTTTTTCTCTTCAGCCAACACCCTGCCATTATTTTGTGAAACTTCTTGCTGATAAAGGACTATTGCTACGTCATTTTACACAGGTAAAATCAATGTTCATTGGTTGAAAAATAAAAAGTGATAAAAATTTTGAAATACCAGAACTCTTGATGTGGATGATGTTTCTTGGTTTATTTTGTGTACTGAGAAAATTAAACTAAATTCCAAGTTTGTATTGCAATTAACATTAGCAATTTCTTAAGTCTCTACTAAAAGAAGCAAAAATAAAAACTGGAAAGAATTATAATTTTCTCTCTCTTTAACTTTAATGTTCTCTTTACTACAAAGCAATCAATATTTGCCTTTGCCGTACTTAGTGTAGTCATGTAATCATGTTATTCAAATGCCAGTCTTTGGTTGGGAAAACCAAATAAAATGATGAATATTTTAAATTCAGTACAATTTTAAAAAGAAGCAAATTAATAACGGGTTAGCAATAAAAATTCAATATTTTGAAAAAAGAATAATTTTGTGAAAAATGAAGTGATGAAACTTTGATTGCCTTTTAATGAGTTACTATAATTACAAGACCTCCTTTTTTTAGGGAGAAACATGTCAGTTTGCATTCCTTACATGTCAAATCGAAATTTTGATATGAAATATTTTATCATTATTAATACTTTCCATAATCTTGAAAAAATTTAAATTCAGAAACCTGATTTCAAAACATGGTTTTTGAATTATTTCATCAAATTCTTCTTACTAGTATCTTCATCATTATTATTTTCAGTTGGTGCATTTTCCAGCATTCATCTTCATGTTGCAACTGTCTTTTTTCATTGACACCCAGGTTTTTTTTGTTTGTTTTTTTTCTACTTTTTCAAATTAAACCCTTCCAAAGTTCAAATATCAAAGATTCATGCTGATGTTACAAGAGAATGCCTATAATCCAAATTGGATCAGAACAACAAAGTTGGGGATACTTTGCCATATAATTCATCAAAACACCACAATGCTTTATCTCAGAATTTTAGACTGTACTATGAAAGCTAAAGATTGTACATTGTGATGCATTATGTCACAGATATTATTTCAAATAATGCATCTTAGAACTTCAAACAACAATTACATTCATAAGTAAAAATATATATTTTAGTAAAACAAACTTCTATCTTTCTTACACAATATGTTGACATGGAAAATTGCTACAACTTATATCCAAGTCCCCTCTTATAATGGTCATATATTTCTTATAAAATTTAAAAGAATCTTCTCAAATGAAATTCCAGCAATTAAATATTACCATAATTGTCTCAGTTAAATTATTAGAATATTTATCACTTTCTTAATTGTTTTATGCTTTCATTGCCTTTTAACACAGAAAATTAATATAACTGATTACAACACATTTTTTACTAGTTTTCTTCACTTTTGTTTATTGTTCTTCATCATGCATTTATTGAACCCATTCTTCAAACATTTAAATTCCAGGAATTCAAAATAAAAATGGATCTTTGAACAATATTCACTCCTATCTTACATGCTAATAGCTCATGGTTCACAGCAGTAAGCCAGCAAAGCCATTTTAAACAGACACAATTCTCAGCTGTCATTTTATTCTATGTTGTTTATTTTATTTCTTTGTCTAAAAATAACTTTAAGAGTTTTATATTTATTGTACTGAGGCTGTGAATTGGAATTGGTCATTTGTAGAAAACAAAATTTTAGTCCATAACAGCCATGGTTTTACATGTATTTTTTTTAATTGACCTTTTCCTTCTTTGATACACTAATAAGGTAAAACCTTATCTTCAGTGTGGCTAGAATGATAGCTATTGTCTCATAACAAAAGTGTATATAAGGTCATCAGTATATTAGCAGTTAAGCTAATCTTGAGTGCTTCATTTTCATGAGTTAGATACTACAGTTATAGATAAGGAAGATTTCAGTTACCAAAACAACATGGATAACAAAGCTTTAGACAGCCAAACCTTATCTATGAGAGAAATGAAAGCTCTCCCACCAATTATGAGTGAGCAGATGAACTACTGTGACACAAATTATAGATAGCTTTAATCTATGTAAAGGAAAAAGTGAATTACAATGCACAGTACATTAATCTTTGTGTATACAATTGTATAACTGTATATTATAGTCCTGACTAATGTCTACTGGTGAAATGGTCTTCAATGGAAACATGGTCTAGACATTGGAAACAGGTGGCCAAGTTCAATCAGTTTCATTTTCTCCTGAATAAAGTAGACAGCAGTGTGTGTGTTGTTATCATCCTGAGGGAGCAATAGTACCAGGATGAACTATGATAGTTTAGGCAATGTTCTACTAGTAAACATTGGGTTTTATTCTTCATTTTATACCACTTACCTCAACATCATTGAAGACCAAGTGTTCTATAGGAATGGTTTCAGGAATACAAATAAGACTTCCTTGTATTACCCTGACCATCAAAACTTCCCAGATCTCAAATCCATTGAGTACTTATGAAATGTGTTGGACCAACAAGTTCATGCTGCAGAATCTCCATCAATAACCCACAATTTTTCTTGTCTTGTTACTAAGAGCAGCTGAGTACTAGACTAGCAAAATGGTATCTGACATGAAAGTACCTACAAAGCAGAGCCATATCATTGAATTCTATTGCATGTCATTACAACCATTGATATTCATGATGGTTACTACTTACTAAACATTTAAGCAGTGGATGTGAGCAGAGTTAAACTATAGTTAATGCATTTGAGAGGTGGTAACAGCAAAGTATGAGTTTTTATAACTATGTGAATTTTTTATGTATATGACACAGTCTCATGTCTGTCATTGATGAAAATACATAGCCAATGTTGGTGACTATGTAGAAAAATAGCGTTTTGCAGCTGGAAACTTGCTCTATCCAATGGTGTTATTGTGCTTCCTGTATCAGTTGTATTTACCATGGAAATAAATTGGAGATATTACTTTTGGAGCATCTTTGCATTTCTCTCTCTCACTCACTATATATATATATATATATATATATATATATATAAATTGGACTTGTGAAGAAAATATTCTTCTGCTTAAGGGGTAATAAAACAATTAGGATTGGTCAGAGAAAGGGTGAAAGGAGGAGGTCTTTGTTCTTATCTTTTTACGACCTCTGTATCTTTTTAAACTTATCTGGAATTTTTGTGTATTGTGTGTGCATGTGTGTTTTTACTATACATATTCCTTCTCTCTCTCTCTCTCTCTCTATATATATATATATATATATATATATATATACACACACTTCCTATGGTGTGTAGAGTTTGTGTGTGCATGGGGTCTGCCTAGTGTGTTTGTTTTGCCAATTGTGTGTGTGTGTGTGTGTGTGTGTGTGTATATATATATATATATATATATATATATATATATATATCTATATATTCATTCTCTATAGATATTTGTGTGTCCCCGACTAGTGTGTTGTCTGTGGCTTCTCTCTTTTTAAATATATATATATATATATATATATATATATGTGTGTTTGTGTAAATAAAGTGCGCATGAATATGGTGTATAATATATATAATTTCCTGTGTCATGTTAACTTATATGTACATAAATTATATAAATCCTATATGTGAAAGAGTCGCAATAAGTTCTCAGCCAAACCCACTTCCTAAAATCTTACTGTTTTTTTTTTTCTTCTTTTTTTTTTTTTTTTTTTAATGGTTTCTTAACACCACAAAGTTTTCACTACCTTGTATGTAATTTTATTTCCCAGAATATTGATACTTTGGAAAGAGTTGCTGGGTTGAATGGAGACCTCATTGTAGAAGCTCATGGGACTTTCTTCTCGAGTCATTGTGTGGACTGCCATACTGAATTCAGCCAGGAATGGATTAAAGGTAATTTCAAGAATTAAGTAGCATTGGCATTTGTGTGTGATAAAGCTTAATCCCAGAAAAGGATTAACCCCCTTCTAGATACATGCAGAGTGATTAAATCTTTATTAAATTTACTTGTCAATTTTGTGGTTGAGACAGAATCATCTCACAGCAAATGGCCATTTTATACACAATTTTATTTTTTAAAACAACTTCCCCACCCAATGCCAAATAGCAGTCACATTAACAAATATTGACAAATAGATTAATATTGATTTTTTTTTTTTTTACATTATCACTTACTTTTTTTTCTCACAAAAGTAAATTTACTTAATGTTTTTTATAATTGTTTTAAAATTTAATGTAACAGTCACATTTAAAATCCAAAATAAAAGAAAAAAAATCTAAAGGAAATTTTTATTAACAAATCAAAAAACAAGTAAAATTAATATTTTTCAACAGAAGTCAGCATTTATTTCAGAAAAATTTAAACTGCATTTTGACACATCTCAAATGTTATAAAAACTGTCTTTTTTTCAAAGGACTTTAAATCTTGAAGTATTTCAGGTTCTTATAAACTGGATTCTTAATATTACTCCCAAACAATTATGAAGGTGCTATATAAGGGGATCAAATAGAGGGGCCAAACTGTCAAACCAATGATTTTGTAATTTTCTACCCAAAAACTCTGACAACAGATGATTAATGTGCAGGTGCACTGTCTTGCTGTAACATGACTGTTTGCAAAGTCCTTCTGGAGAGTTGGGAAGGAAAAGTCCAAAATGTTCAAATATTTTTCACCTGTAATGTTTCTATCATTGAAGATTGATGACAAACCCCATTGAGACATTGGTCTTGAGTGACATTCACCAATTCTTTCTATGGGTTGTTCAATGCCACCCACAAAGAAAAAAAACAGTTCCCTTATTCTATGATTT